ATGATGGAACGAAGAGGACAAGTGACGACGTGAGCAAGAAAAGAAGAGAAGGAGAAAAAACTTGATTGTCTTTGTGTGTTAAAACTTAAACCAATCAACCAAGTTTGATTATTGAACTTTTTAATTTTTTTGTTTTGATTTAGTTTGGTCAAACCAGACTTTGAAAATTGTTACAATTGTTAAAATTGTTGAAAGAGAATTTTAGTTATGCTACTTGTGTATGTATATAGAACATAGGTGAGTAAATTTGCCTATTTAAACATGACTGAATTTTTTAACCTGTCTAAGACTTGTGTTCACTGTGTGGCGACATGGTAAAATTGGGTAAACTCGCTCGGAAAGTGTGACTAACTGAATAACTTTCCTAGCCACAGAGTTTCTTAGTTTTAATATCGAATAGGACCGCATAAATAACTGATTATACTTGGTAAGTGACGTTAATTTAATTTTAACGGGTGCGTGGCCGTGCCACGTCCCAACTTTTTAATCACAAAGAGCGAAAAGAAGTTTTATGGCAAGATGACGTAAGTAGTCAGAAAAGAAATTTTATCTAGGACACTCCTCATGGTGCAAATTTTGTGAAAATGTTGAAAGGCAGTGAGATGTAGTACGATGCCATTTGTGACACGTAGTGAGTTGAGGTGGAGTAGATAAATTTCAATTTCTAATGCGATTTGTAAGATTAATTACAGAGAACTGGAACACTACTTGACGATAACCCGGTGTTATGCGATCAATAGGGACATTGATGGGGAATTGTCCGGGGAGTATGTGCCATTCAGCCAGATTGGCACAGCGCAACCCTCCGGCGACACGAAAGAAAATCAATAAAGGCCTTAAGTTACGAAAAATAACTGCGAAGGAGGGTCTAGATATTCCGAAAAATTAAATTTTTAAAATTTCGAATGACGGGCCAATATTTCTGAGAAATAAAAGAAGACGGCCATTTTGACTGAAAAGGACGAAAAAACAGAACAACAACAAATATAGTGAAAAACGGTCGTGCGGGAACACGAGAAAAACGGAGTCTCTTATCGTGGCAATAACACACGATAAGATCCTTAGCAGTGGATATTAGTGGAGAAGGAAGCTTCAGTGGGGAAGGAATATTCCACGGAACCCTCCCGTGCCACAAATTGTTATATAAACCAGACAAATTGGCTCCGAAATTGAGGCCTGATTTAAATTTATTTGATTTAAAAAAATATGAGTCAGTGTGGGTTGAGTGCAAATCTACATTTAACATTTCGAGTAAAGAAAAAATGTTAGTTAATTTGTGTTATAACCCAAGCAGATCAAACTTTATTGATTTTTTGGAACAATTAACGCTTAACATAGATAATGCATTTTCAGTTTCTAATAAAATTACGCTTCTGGGTGATTATAACATAAATTATCTGGATAGCAAAGAAAAAGAAAATTTAGATTTTATAATTATTCCATATGGATTGAAGGTTTTTTGTCCATAAGATGAGACCAGAATTAGTTCCTCAACAAAAACTCATATCGACTACATAATCAGTGACTATGAAACAAACGGCATTGAATTTTGTTTTGATACACCTTATAAAACCGACCATTTTGCTTCATTTATTTTGACGGATATAAAATGCGGCAAAATTTTACCGAGGATAATTTCGACTTTCAATAAGAAAAATTATCAGAAAAATGAATTTTGCAATTCACTCTCCGCTCTTCCTTGGTATCTCTTATATCAATGTACAGACGCACAAAACATGTTCTCGACGATGATTTATTTAATTTCTTGTGCTCTACAGCAACATGCTCCTATCGAAAAAAAGTTTGTTCGTAATTTTAAACCAAAAAACGTGTTGAAAACGGAATTGTTCGATTCAGAATGTCAGCAATTGTTGACTAAGAAACAGAATTCACTCAGATCATATCGCAGTCAAAGCACAAGCGATAATTGGTCAAAGTACCAGTTTTTACGTAATCAAATGAGCCAATTGATTAGAAGTAAACAACACGATCATTCAAAAAATTGTTTTTCACTTCTCAGCACTATCCAACAAAAATGGAAATAGATTAACCAAGTTAGAGGTACATGTTCTGGCAACAATCGAATTACAGTTTTACGAAATTCCTTCAGTGAAATGATAACGCAAGACAAAAAAAATTGCCAATCATTTAATTTATATTTTTTCAAACTTAGGCTAATTTTTCGGCGCTAAAAAGCCTCCGAATTACAACAAATCTGCCTCTGAATCTGCACCTTTCCATTTTCAACACATTACAGTGAAGCAATGCTTTGATATAGTTCGAAAAATCAATGTTAGAAAACCTCTCGGACCTTGTACCGTACCTGCTTGGGCAATCATTGACGGTCAATCAGTTATAGTTCCACATTTAACTTTTGTCATTAATACTTGCTTAGATGAGAACATTTTCCCGATCGAACTGAAAAAAGCAAACATAACCCCTTTGTTTAAAAAAGATGACCAATGGATGCAAAAAATTATCGGCCAATATCAATAACTTGTGCTTTTTCTAAAATTTTTGAAAAAATTTTACATGCCCAAATTTTACTTGACAAATTTCAAACAATGACACCATTTCAATTTGGATTTCGCAAAAACATTTCAATACAAGATGCTCTTGTTTATGTGACAGAAAGTATTCGAAATCAAATAGATTCAAAAAAAATCGTACATGCAGCTTTATTAGATCTGTCCAAGGCTTTTGATTCTATTTCGCATGAAGTTTTAATTGAAAAAATGCTTTCTCTCGGTTTTTCAAATGGAGCAAATGCTTTAATTGCTAGCTTCCTAAACAAACGTATTCAAAGAACAAAAGTCAATTGTTTTTTCAGACTGGATTGAAATAAAACGAGGTGTCCCACAAGGAACGGTACTTGGTCCGTTGTTGTTCAATTTATATGTTAATGACATACAAGAGCGATTATATGAAGGTTGTACTTTAGTTCAATATGCTGACGACTGTATGGTTTTTTCCTCTTCTATAATTTCTGAGGATGCTTTGAATCGATTGCAAAAATCACTCAATAATCTAACGGAATTTTTTGCAGAGAACCAATTGAATCTGAATGCATCTAAATCGGAATTTATAACATTTTGTCAAAAAAATGATAGCAAAAATGTGGATACTGATAAATTAGTAATTAGTGGGCATTATGTAGCCAAAAAATCAGAATGCAAATGTTTAGGCATAATTCTTGATTCAAGTTTATCTTTTTATGCTCAAATCAAAACAATTCTCCAAAAAATGGCCCAAGGGATTAAAACTATTGATACAATTGGTCAACAACTGCCGACATTATCATTAGTTGCCTTGCTTCATTGTCTTGTTTTATCACTTTTAGATTATTCAGCAATTTTTTTACAACAAATTAATGCTACTTTGATGCTATCTCTAGAGAAACAGTTGAACTGGGCGCTAAAAAGAACATATTTCAGATCGAAATTTAAATCTTCTTCCCTTCTTCGCATTAGCAAATCGTTCATTGGAATCGAGAAAAGAATTGAGTTAAAATGTATAACATACTTATACCAATATCTTACAAACAAAAAGAAGGCTTTTGAAAATACACTGAGACTACCGACTGCCAATTATAGGCTCAACGAAAGAACGAAACAAATTATTTTTGACAAACATTGTTCGACTGCTTCTCTACAAAATTCATTTTTTCATTTGACTTCTAAAAATGGAATTCACTGCCCATAATTTTGCGCAATTTAGAAAAATCGAAAACAGAATTCAAGAAAAAGTTGAACGAATTTTACGTGAGTGAATTGAGAAACAATCCTATATGTACTAATACAAATACGTGGCGTGATTTCCGTTTTTGCTAGTTCTATATGTTTTAATTCAGTTTAATTTTTCACACATTGCATGAAAGAGAAACTGTATATACTCTGTATATACGCTGTATAATTGGACTATCTGTAAAATTGTTTGCAAAGTTTTATTAACAGCTTGTTCCTAATTCTTAAATCTTTATTTTTCTATAGTATCCGAAACTTCATATAATTTAATCAACCAATTTCCGAACTGTAACCGATTTTGTTTTTTTGTTTTGTTTATTGCTTGTTTTCTGATGTTTTGTTTTTGTTTGATGTAACCAATGAATTTATAACCAATTTTATTATTTACACTTTGCTACACTGATGCCTCGGCTCTTTATTGTATAGTAATTCAAGCGTTCTTTCTTCTTCTTCTTCAAGGTCGAGACGGTGAAAAACGAGTAGGATTAAGGTAACTGACGCCTGCCAGTCGTTAACAGGTACTTTTTCTACGCTCCGTCGCTGTGTAGTATTTGGGCGAATGTCACACTTCTGCCCGCTAATTTTCGGATGCACCGGTGGCGCTGCTCCATCAGCCACGCGGACGATGCAGCGATTAGCCGAAAGACTAAGTGAAAAAGACAAGAAAGCTATCCAGAATCTATAAACTACATAAGAACTAAATTAAGCTTCGCGCTCCTGAGGAGCTCTATACTTTGTATAAAGGGGTGCAGATGGCTACGCGAAGTTCAATTTATCGACAACTCCATAAGCGCTATTGTAGAGGAAGGACGGCTAAGATAAATTAACATTACGACGATGCATTTAATGCTGATTTATGACTCCATTGCTGATATATATGCATTTTTATAACGCTGGTATGGCCCTATCCAGCTTGTGCACTTACGGTAACTAAACGGAAGGGCCCCTTTTGTAATTTAGGTTTTTTAATTTCTATTGTCTTGGCATGTATTTGTTTCAGAACTAGCCTTGTTCATTTTTTATTAGATCTAGTTGTTTCGACCTTTTCGATTTTTTTTATCATTCTTTTTCTTGTCTTCTATCGCTTCGCCTCTGAGTGAAGAAGTACATTCTTTTCCTTCGGATTTAAATTTTTGGTTAACTTATGTGTTAGATTCTTTTAAAGTTGATGACACGTTTTCGATCTTTCATCTACCGTATTGTTGATTTGAAAATGATTGTTAAGTCTCATCATCAGTAATTATTTTTTGTTTGAAGATTAATTAAATAATGACCTAGCACTTATTAGCACACGCTGATGGATATTTTATCTGCATCAGCTAAATGGGAAGATTGGGTGGGGGACAATCACAAAATTCACGGTAAGAGTACAGTTGCTGAGTTGGATTTTGTTGTGCATTTCGAATTGATACTTATCTGATAGTTATTTGGTACAGAAGACGATTTTCACGATAGTGGGAATGGATCGTCGCCCGAGGAGTCTTTGACCTCAAGAAATATTGAATTGCAACTGCAACCGGTTTCTAAATGTCGTAAGTTGTCTGATTTCATCACATATTCTTAATCTGACTAGAACGAAAACGAGTGTTTTTATAGTTTTCCAATAAATTTGGTTATTACAGTTACTTCTAGAAGTGCTGTAAATCAAAACAAGCAAAAACTGAATTATTATTGTTTTTTAATTTTCCGTCTTTGAGAATTCGTATTGCAAATCAGAGAATTATCGATTCCTTAAAATGTCTGCTAAGAAAAACGTTTCGTCGAAATTTGTGAAAAAACAGTCAGACTGGTTTAATGACCGCTGCCGGTAAAAATAAGGCACGTTGGTTCAATAGATATTTTTCCGTTATTGATGAATATATGCGCTATCGACATGCGTTCTTCTCGCTTTGTAACTTGCAAAAGCTTTCTCGGCATTACTGAAACTTCTCCAACTGTATGGCTTGATGCTTGCGAATAGGCTAACAGAGAAAGGAGAGGGGTTTGAGTTTGGGCAGCATCTACTAAATTGATAGTTGATATATATTCTACTTGCTGGGTTGTTTATTTTTTAGCTTGGTTGCCACAACACGAACTTTACTGATGCTTGAAGCAGTTTTCATTAAAGCTAGTGTGAAACTCATTTCTGGTGCTTTGTATAGATTGCCGATTGTAAAAACTTCTTAAATGTAATTCATGGAAAAACAACGAAATAAATGCAATCGTAACAATAGACAGGTCACTTGTTAAGGCTTTTTGTTTCAAAAGTTGAACGATAAAAACAATTTAAAAAAAATTCGTATCTTGTACTCAGAATCAAAACCCTAAAATGGCTGACAGCATACAACTTCATTTTCCATATTGAAGAAAACTTATTAAAGAAAACTACTTCATTTGCAAAGTCACTAAATTCATTATTGATATTTTTGTTCAACTTAGCTCAAACTATTTTCCCTAGTTCAATTTTTATTTCCATGATTTTTTTAAAAAAATCATATAAAACGTCAAATTAGAGAACTTAGAGAACTAGGACAGTGAAAGTCTGGGTTCGAATCTGACGAGGACCTATTTTATAAACGAAAATTTTATGTTTCAAATAAATTTGTCGGCCTAATGTTTGTCTGCTGACGTGTTTTCTCGGCTTAGCTGCCACATCTAACAATTGTTTATTTTGCTGTAAAATATTTTCAGTGTAGTTGCTTTTAGTGTGTTAGCATTTTAGAATAGCGGTGGAATCAAAACTTGATTTTTTCATTGGTTGTGATTTTACCAACACGGTTTGTTAAATTTCTGTTTTTTAAAATTTTTTGTCCTTCTTTTTCGGCTTAATTGATTTCGTTTTTTTTCTATCGACTTATTGTCTCCTTTTGTGTCTTTAGAGGAACGAAAGTTTTTTTTGTATGCGTGTTAGTATTCTAAACTCATTTTTCTTTGTTTGATTTTGATTATAGTCATTCATTTTTGTATCGCAAGTGGTGCGAAGCTCAAGTTAGCCTTTTTGTTTTATTTTGACATCTCCCCACCAAAATGTCAACATTTTCAGTTTTTGAAAAGTTGTCTTTTGAAATTTAAGACTTTTGACTGTTTTTGAAAGCTCATAAAAACAGCATATCTCTGAAAGTAACGATTGATCAGTCATTTTGGAATCAGATATAAAGCGCCTAAAATTACGTTGCCAGCGCCCCACCGTGATAATCCAAAAAAACATAGAAAATGATAAATAAATGGCACATCTCAGAAAGCGAGATGATTTCAGCAGTTAAACTTGAAGGCATGATCTACATCCTCTGAAGTTTTCCTGAGAGCACACCTTCATAGCGTTGAGAAATTGAAGTTTGTAGAGTTTTTCAATCAAAGTTTTTTTTAAAAAAAAATCATAAAACGTCATATCTCGGTAAGCGCAAAAGCTTGAGCAGTCAAATTTGAAGGCAATATTTGCAACCTCAGTACCCTGAGAGCACCCACTATAAGGTTGCAAATTTGCCTTTTCGAGTTTTTTTCTAATTCAAGAAAGCATCATTTTTTTTTAAATTAAAAGGATTCAGCATTTTTATTTGGAGAAAAGTTTGCCGCCCTTGATAATGCCCTGGCAGCACCCAGCTATAGGTTGTGAAGTTCTATTTTTTTTTCGCGTTTTTGATATCTCAGTTCTTTGAAATAACTTATGAAAAAAGTCATACGGAACGCCGTATCTCGGAAAATAAAAAGATTGAGCAATAATATTTGCAGGCAAGATTTGCAAACCTGAAAATGCTCTTAAGTTTCAGGGCTGGGAGTTTCTAATTTAACGAAACTTTATCTAAATCTATATTTTGTGAAACTTTTTTTGATAAAAATTATAAAAAAAAACATATCTCGACACTATACGCATGTAAGCGGTCATAAACGGAGGCAAGTTTCGCAACCCGCGAGAGACTTCTGACAGTGCCACACTGCAGAGTTAGCCATTTCATTTTTTGTGAAGTTTCTTATATCGACTAGTCTTGTTAACTAAAAGGGCTTGGAGGCTTAACTAGAAAATCGAAAAAGTTCTTATGCATTGCAATATACGATCTAGCTTAAACGTGAAAAAATTATTCTAGCGTAAGTTTCGTTTCGTAGCGAGGAAAAATATAGAAATGTAAAAAAGGCAATATTGATTGAGTTGTTGAAAAATATAGAGGCCGAATAAGGTGGTAGGTCCGTTTTTTTCAATTTTTTTAACGGGAGTTTTATGGCAATTTATTGGCCATTGGATATCGCAGATCTAATAGTTTCAAAGCTGAAAATGTTTTTTTTTAAATCAGCCAATGGGGTGAATGGTGATTGTTCATAAAAACAACAAGACTGCTCTTATCGTATCAGGGCGAAGCTCCATGTTATGTTATAACTGCTCCATAAACTTTTAACGTTTATAGAGCAGTAATAACAAACAACATAAAAAAATTGAATGAAATAAAATGGAAAACTTTTCTAAAATTTGAAAATTTTTCTAAGAAAATCATCCCCCCAAACGCTATATAAAGTACAAAACTGTAGATTTCGCTCCTTGTAACAAATCAATTATGTCAAATAAGCTTCTTTAAACCAATTTGGAACGATTTCTAAGACAGATTAAATCTCCGCTTGCGCGTTAATAGCGCGAACTATATCGCGCGTTAATTGTTCCAAATTGGTCAAAATGGCAATCTTTAAACCCTCATAACTTTACGAAAAATGATCACAGGTAAAATATCTTTTCAAATTTAGGCTCAGGACAACAATAGTTTTCGAATGATATAAAAAAATTCCGTCAAAAATGGCTAGTTAAAAAGTCGAAATTTGTCTGAAGAAAAAAAAAATCCACCCCGAGCACAAATATTCCGTTACTTTCGTATCGAAAGTCGGAACAATAAAATAATGTCTGTTTGTTTAGGTATTCGGATGTATCACCACGTGCCAGAGTTCGACCGTGTTTGCCTTGTGAAGTGCAGCATGTGCGGGAAAAGTATCAGGGCTCAATTCTTTGCTCTACATTGCGGTAAAAACTTTTAGATATTAATCATTCATATTATTCTCCATGATATCAGATGCGTGTACAGCAAACCCTTAAGTAACGTAGCGGATCGTAGTCACGTCTACTTTTTGCCATGTAGCCTATTTAGAAAATTTTTGGTAATTTTTGTTTCGGCTTTCGGAGAAAGTTGACAATATATAAACTGGTGGTTCTTTTTTATTCAGTTTTTTTTACAATGAAATTTGGAAGCTTAATACTTTCAATATTCGAATTATTTATGCCTGGAGAATTCTAGCTCTCAACTTTTAAGCACTTTACTTTTGATATTGACAGTGCTAAATTTATGGCTATCAAAATTTTAATTGAAATCTTCAAGACCAGTTAAAGGACAGTCGGAATAGTAGGGCTTGCCCTGATATAGGAGCCATCTTGTTCAATTAATAATAAGTTAATTGAGGAAAACGGAACATAAATATTCCGTAAATGTTTTGGACCTATTATTTTTCGACCTTTGCTTTGACAATGTATGTATAGTAAGGTTTCTTGGTTGTTGCCTATTGTGTTTTTGTTATTATTTAGCAAAACGGCATGGCCTGGAGATGGCTACAGAAGACGAGCGACCAGTCTCCTGTTTGACGGAGCCCCTGAAAAATGCATCGCTGGACAATGTTCTTTCGTTCATTCCCAGTCCAACTATCTTCAGAGACGAACCACTGGAGAACGGCATCTGCAATGAAGAGACTCCAGTTCCAGTCGTAGTTCAATTTTCCTCCGATCACGAGGCGTCCAACATCTCATCCGCAACTGAAGAGCAAAATTTTGTCAACGATCTTGCTGCTGAGAATCTCGAGGAGCGCAGATCTCCTGCACCCAATGATGATGAGCGCCATGCGTTCCTTATCAACAGTTTGTCGGAAGACATCAACAGAAACAACTATTTGAAACCACAACTCACCCCCAACACACTGGAGCAGCTTAATATTCTTCCCGCAGGAGCAAGCATGTTCAATGACGATCTAGAGCAAGAGGTGAAGCAAGCGGATGAAAGCTTTTATCTGTCAACCGATGTGACATCTCAAGTTCTTCCAGAGCTTCAAGACCAGCCTCATGCTTCTCCTACCTTTCAAATCAAACCCGAGTCATTCGATCTCCCCGATATGTCTATGAACGTTGAAAATCCGTTTCAAATCAAAACTGAGTCATCTGAAGATTTCCTTCCTGAAGATCTTCGTAACATCGTTATTAAAAAAGACTTTGACGTGAGTATTTGCTATTCATTCCAAAATAAGTTTGTTTTGATCAAGTGACTGAAACGATGTTTTATTGTAGTGTCCAGAAATGTCCAAATTACTGGAATCTGACCTCAATTTTGGCGAGAAGTTCGACAAGAATTCGTTGCTGTCGGAAATATTTGTGCATGAACAAACACAGGCTAAACCTTTCAAACAGGAAGGTCCAAATGTACAGTTCACAGAAGCGAATGAGCAAGCAATTACGACGAAGAAACCCAAGGCCTCCAAGAAGAGTCCCAGAAGAAGATGTTCGTTAATCCCATTATTTTACTCGTGGTTGAAGTGAGCCAATTTTTAACTGGTTTTTAATGTTTCAGCTCAAGTTTTTGACCCCGATCGTCATTGTGGTGTTAATTTCATCAAAAATGGGGAGCAAGTGCAATGCATGAGAGCGATTACATGCAAGGTAAGGTTTTTTTTTCAGTCATCGCTAGTGTTATCCACTAGAATTCAGTATCAACAAATGTAGGAATTGTTACAGGCCCATAGCTTGGCTTTGAGGAAGGAAGTGCCTGGGAGGAGCAAACCGTTTTTAGTCCTGATTCAAAACTTAACGGCGGAGAAGCATGCGCTTAAACTGGAGAAGGAACGGGAGTTGGCTGCTCTGAATGGAGGCATGATACCTGAGGCTCCGCAGCCCGTACCACTACCCACTGTCAGTGTCCCCATTAGAATGATGAATCACGAACTTATGCCTTCCCAAAAACGCAAGCAGACTGAGGATAATCTTTTTACTCCAAGAGAGTCAATGTTTCCAGTCTTGTCTACTCCACACAGGTACATATTAATTAATTGAGTTCTAAAAATAAGGGTTTTTAATTATGTTTACTATTAAAAGAGCAAGTGTCTTTAAATTCTTTACCTGCGATTAATATGAAGGCTAATTATGCTCAACTGCGTATCAAATTATCTTATTGTTTTAAGAGTCGATGACCGTAGTTCAGGCCCTTGGTCGTGATGATTTTTTTTTTCATGAAATGTTTCGAAATTTGTTGAGGTTCAAATTTGATTTTTTTGGGGTTTGACTTTTGATTTCTTATTTCTTTTGATTTCTTAAAAGGAAGGCAAACTCCCTTATCGAACGACAAAAGTGTAAAGGTCACGACAAGCAAAACCCGACTTTAGTTTCGAGTGGGGATTTTAATTTTCAGATTTCCCAGCGGAAAAAAAAGTTACCTATTGATCCAGTTTTTTCTTAAATTGGGTTAACTTTATTACTACTTTTTCAGGTTAACAACTTGTTGCGCAGACTCACTTGTATCTTGGTTCATATTGAATTTAAAGTTATTTGCGTTCCCGGCCAACTTAGCCTGCAGGTAACGAATTTGCTAGGGACGGCAAAGGTCCTGGGCTTGAATCTGACTAGGACCTGTTTTTTTTCAAACAGAAAATATTCTGTTTCAAATAAAATTGTCGGCTTACCTGTTGTCGGCTTAGATTTACATCTTGAAATCGTTGCATTGTGTTTGATTTACTCCTATAGTTTTTAATTTTACGTACCTTGACTTCGTTTTTTCTTTGTTTGTTTTTGTTTCGCTGAAAAACAATTCCTCGGCCCAAATTATTTCGGCTGATTGACCTATTTTTGGGTCGTTTCAAGGGAAGCACAACTTAAACACTCCCCATCGCACTTTCCATGTTGGTTGAATATTGACCAATCGGTTTGTTGAAACTTCGTTTTTTTTTTCAGTAAGGAAAACTATTTCCAAATTCATTGGAAAAATTTTGGTTTTTCGCAAAATTTGCGGACTTTTTTTTTAAAAAGTATCAATTGAAAGACCACCTACTCCCTTGTGTGCCTGTAGAGTCTCTTTTTACCTGACCTCTCTGTCTACAGCCTTCGAAAAAGTCTGTGGGGGAATATTTGACTCATTTTTTTCGTTTTCTCGAAAAATACCCCATTCAAGTTATTAGTTTTAATGAATTTAATGGTTTCCAAAACTCCCTGCATGAGCGGCTACGCCCAATTTTTTTTACACAAAAGGTTATGGTCCTCGGAAAAGTCTTTTTTTTTTTAAATTTTGACCGTTTTTTAATTCTCGAAAAACTACCCTGCCATGTATAAGATTTTGGGTTCAATTCAAAGAACGGGTCATGAGAAGCTCATTTGCTTATACATGCCATGCGCCTACTCCCAAATTTTTCTGAAACCAAAAGTTATGGCACTGGGAAAAATCAAAATTTTGAATTTTTGACCGTTTTTTTGACAATTCTGGAGAACTACTCCCAAATCTGAGGTTTTGGGTTCAATTGAAATTACAGGTTGATTGAATCTCTTCTGCATAAGTGGGTTTGCCCTATTTGTCTCACAAAAAGCTCTGATTCTCGGAAATGTCAAATTTTTGATTAGTTGACTGTTTTTTTGGCCTTCTCTCGCTAACTATCCTGCCAAATCTGATATCATAGGTTTAACCGAAACAACAGGTGGTTGAAAGCCTACTTTTGTAACTGGTTATAACTGGTTTGTAACTGGTTACTTTTGAAATATTAAGAAAAAAATGGCCTTCAAACAAGTCGAAGTTGAAATTTCGAAAGTTTTTTGCAAACTTTTTGACTTTACGCGAAAACTACCGCGCAAATTCTCAGGTTGTGTTCAATCGAGAAACCACAGCAAGCTCTTTGCAAGACAAAGTAAGTCATGGATTTTGGAAATCCTTTTGACCCTTTTTTTAGAAGTTTTGACCGTTGTTTAGAAACTTTTTAAATTTTTACAATCAAATCTGAGATGAAAATTCCAACTCCAACTGAAAGAACCGGTTGTGATAATGGTTCCTGCAGAAGCGGCGGCTACTTAATTTTCTGTAAGAGAAATGTTATCTCTTTGGCAAAATTGTTTATCGAAAAAATTTTAGTATTTTTAACTTCTTTATTTTAGTAAAGAAACAACTACGGTTTTGGGCAAAGTCCAATTTTTGAGATCGCATTTTTCGTGACGCATCAGTATAGCAAATTGATTCAATATCAAACATATACCTTCAGCTGTAGCTGGGCCCTTAGCTGTTTTTATCTAGACATAACGAAAAATTTGGCTCACCTATTTTTTTTAACATTGAAATTTTTTTGGTCGACTTATGTTTTTTGTATTTATCGCAAGTGGTGCGAAGCTCCGCTTCGCCTGTGTCAAAAAAGTTACTCTAATAATTTGCACAAGAAATTCAAATAGCTTAAAAGCCATCTGTTTTAATCTGAAATTCGGAATTTGAGAATTCAAAAAACCAAGTCCGTTTTTTCTGTTTTCTCTCGCTCATTGACTCTTTTCCGACTGTGTTGGCTATGTTTTGAATGACCCAGTCAAGTCTTCAGTTTTCAATTTTTTGGCGTTTGCCTCAGTGTACTCGCATTGTCACATGTTTTAAGGGTAGCAACTATTTTACCAGTGCCTGGTTTTAGCGGCGTGGAAACAGTCGGGGCTTTTGTGGGTAATGCAACTGCAGCAACAGATGATGCAAATGTGCATTTTAAAGTTGCAGCGGAAGAAGTAGGACTACTGTCAAACAATGAAAACAAGCAGGAAGACAGCAACGCATCACTATCTCTGGTATCCTCTAGGATTTCCATCCTAATCTTTCAAACTGTGTACTGCTGCCATAATCATTAATTTGGGCCATTTTTTCATATTGAAGAATTAACGGTGCATAAGGGTCTCATTTCAAAAAAAATAGATAGGTAAAAATCCGTAAATCTTCTTACAGGCATGGAAAAGCATAAATTTTTTTTTAGCAATATGGAGAAAAGCTTGTTGTATTTAGATCAACCCATTGTATGATGCGAGAAGAGTAGCGGGTACATCAGTTCTTGCGTTCAATAAAGGCGCCCGACGACTCCGGAACATGTTCACTTCCCTCCTGGGACCCAAAGGTAAACATTCACCTTGCAAGCATAACACAGAGTATGGAGTGAGTGGGGACGTGGGCGCCAATGGAATCTCTCGGCCGGGAAATCAAGTTTTGGGAGCTTTTCCAAATTTTATGAATCAACAGAGAAATGTTAATGTGGGTGGAATAGTACCTATTTTGAAACCCAGAATTGACAAGGTTCCGACCTCAGCGATTATGAAACAGCAGACTCAATCTCCAATGACCTTTCGGGCCAATGTGGCTGATGAAAGCCAGCAAAAAGTAGGTCACTTCAAAGGGATCTCGGCGTCTAAGGTGCCCTGCTCATCTCACAGTGTGCTGAAGGATAGTTCGACTCCAAATTCTAGCTTAGTGGAGCAATCTATGTCGTCGAATAATGTCGCCGCTGCTGCTTGTCCCAGGTTTCCTGTTCCGTGCTACCAGTCATCCCCAATGTCCGCTCAACCGACCGAACTACCGCAGTCTGTGCAAAATAGTCCCAGTGATGGCAGCAGAAGTAAAACAGGTTCGAACAGGAAGCGTAAGCTGCAAGTTCATGGCCAAGCTAATGTAAGCTCCCATTCAGCGATATCTCCGATTGGAGCGAAAGTAGCAGTTCTTTCTGCTGACCAAAATTTTTTGACGAATTCGCCTGTGGTGCAATCACCGCAATCCCACCACCAACAGGCCATGGCTCACCAACAGACCCTGGGGTTAGCGTCACCAGTCGAGTTCTCCCCAAGTACCCCGGCTATGATGCAACAGCAACCATCTCAGGCTATGGAAGCAACATGGGCAAGCCAATTGCAATCACCGGGGGGTTACCCGCCCACACCCTCCCCGCAAATGCCATCATCTCCTGTAAAGCACCCGTATGCAGTTGTCCATCACTTGGGAATGCAGCAGCAGCATCTGGGAGTGCGACATTCCAGTCCTGTGCCCCATTCGCCCTCAGGTGTAGTCGTGCCTAGATACATGAGTCCCCCGACTCATAACAACAATATTGTAGCGCTCAAAGGCAGTCCGCAGTACAGATTTCCAATGCATCACCAGAACTCTGTAAGATAATTTCCCTTAAATTAAACTCATTTTTGAAGAAATTGTAATTGAAGATAAACGACTATGATTTATTTTTTTTAGTCCTGCAACGATCTAATCTATCCTGGCGAGGAAAATCCACATCAAACTCAGGGACTGCAAAATCAGATTGATATGGGAGGATCATCTGGTAGGTCTGAAGCTATTCAAATCTATGTAAACAAACTAAATGGAATCGATATTATAGCTTACTTTGAACAATCACTCTCCGATGAATTTGTTATTGCGGGTTATTAGATAATTTCGTTTATCATTAATCTGGCCTAAAACGGAGTTTTTGTATCATTTTATTACATTTTTATTGAGCAAGTACTTTTATAGGTCCTGCTAGTATAATGCAAGCTGCGACAGAACATCACGCAGAGTCAACTATCGGCTACGGGTCAGCAGTTAATGCAATCAGTCCCAGCAAAGCAATTTCCGTGATCACGCCTCAGGCCAATTTGACCCCTAGTCAACCAGGCCATGCTGATCCAAATTTACCGGCTCCTGAACCTCCAGTCCAACATTCGCCATCTTTAAGCAGTCATCGGCAAATGAGTCATCTGTCTTTGTCTCCGGGTCAGGCCGCTACCCGAATGTACGGCAACCCCACAGAAGCTCAGTTAGTAACACAGCAGATGCAGATTTCTGGTGGAGTTATTAACCATAATCCAAACTACGCTCCTACTGCAGCTAAAGTAATGCGCCCTCCCAGCATACACAGGCTAGTGAATCCCAGCGGAATGAAGGGAATGCCCGCGGGTCCCATGGGTTATGTTATGGGTTCCAACCGGATGACCACCAGGTTCGTTTATCCAAATCAGGCTCCATATCAGCAACACCATGTCGCTCAGTTGCATCAGACAGGAATGGTTGGCAGATCAGTGCAAGGTGCTAAAATGTATGCAATACGAGGTGCTCCTGGTCATATGATGTCTCCTGCTATGGCTCAACAGTACAGGGCAGCTATGGTCGCAAATCACAGTCAGCATGGAACAACAGGATCTCCGGGCATGGGAACGAACTCAAGAGGTAATTTCTCGACTATCTTTTGTGATCAAATTCTCGTTTTTGATGTTATTTTGTATTTAAATTAGTGTGTTTTATCAGTTATGTCTCCAATGGGTCCAAATATGTACATCAGGGGACAGCAACAGCAGCACCAAAACTGGGTTGCTCATGCAGGCGCGAACTATCAACCAGTACCGATGTACCACCACCGATCGCCGCCTGCACACCACATTCAACAGCCAGGTGCCAAACAGCAGCAGGGCAGCGTCTACGTGAGCAATCACCACCAGCAGCAGAGTAATAATAGTAATCGCACAGCAACTGATTACACGTATGGGACACAAAACTCCTCCCAAACGATTCCCCTGTCCTCTGCCCAGATGAATTTTTCACAGGGTTTCCAGTCTGGCATGGATACAAGCACGCCCATGCATTTCTCGCAATTCAGCTACGGTGAGCGTGGATTTAAGGGCGGAATAGAATCTAAGTTGGAAGTTTTTCTAACCATTTGGAGGTTTGTAACTATGTCTATTTTTGTTTGCAGGTAATATGCATCCTCTGCCAAAGGATACAATATTGATAGAGTAGATAGACAGAGACAGTTCGACATTCAATCAACACACCCCGCAAATAGCATACTATTGACAAACACGATAATATAAGTTAGTCCAATATAAGTTTCGGTGCTCAATAATTGACTTTCGAAGTAATAATATTATAGAGATAGATTGTACTGTTTTGTACGGCTGAACTAGATTGAATGTGTTCTGCAATTTAGATTATCCTATCCATTCCCGTGGAAATTTAGATCAATTAATTATCACTAAATTAATCTATTTGTCGCATTTTTTTGAAAAGTATAGTTGAAGTGCTGATGGCTTCAAGTATTGAGTACTATTTGAGATTCTCAGTTACTTTTGTATTCAGATATTCGCGAAAAAAAAACATTATATGACAATGGAGATATTTGAAATGTTATTGAACAGATTGCATTTCACTAAGTTGATGTTTTCGTTTGCCCGTTCATTAGGAGAAATCAGTCTTAAATTGTTTCCTGTTCAATTTTGTATTTTGGCTGCTTGAAACTTTTGTTTCACATTAACTTCATAAGTCGCCAGCCCAAAAAGACAACACGGCAGGCAACAATGCCTTACGATGTTCCCTCGGTTAAATAAGTGCTGATGCAAATAACTGGTATGCTATTTAGTAAATTATTCAAACACAGGCGCGGATCTAGGAATTTCTCGAGAGGGCGGACTTTCAAGAAATTTTAAGTTTTGGCGACCTTTTTTAGGTCGACCAAATTTATTTTCTGAGCTTTCCAAATCACTATAAAGACCGCAATTTGACCAAATTTTCTGCGCCGCAGGCAAATTTTTGTAAAAAAAAAATACCAAAAAAGCGTTTTTGGAAAATTTCGACCAAAGCATCGCGTTTTTTTGCGCGCGTCCCGGCCTCAAAATTAGTATAGAATGGCGCTAAAGGCGCCTTTAAAAATTTTCAAGTCAGTCAGCCAGAAATGGATATCTCAAAATAGTACAAAGGGGAACGTTTGAGTCAGCAGGTGGTCGAATCCCTGAGGGGAGCGGGCGTCCGCCCCCACCTCTAAATCCACTGGTGCATAAACAAACTTATTCATCCGACTTTTTAAGAAGTAACGGAATCGTTTGTTTGGGGTAATGTTGATTATTCAGACTAATTTTGGCGATCGAAACAATAGTTTTTTCTTAAAAATTTGTTATACTCTATTATCATGCCAACTCGCTGAGTTCAAATTTAGAAAAAAAAATATTTTAAGTGACAATTTTTTAAATACAATTTATTGGCTTGAAAAATTGTCAAGTTGGACATGATCTGGACTAATCGAAGGGCGCTGTCAAGGTGTCAATTGTGCTGAAAGTGTTACGCGAATTTATTGTCCATGGTAAATTATCCTGCGCTCCAAATTGTTCCAAGTTGAATAGAGGTAAGCCGCATTTACCATGCGATTGGTTCCCTATACCGACTTGAAGTTATCACAGGCAAAGGAGAGCTTGGATTCAATTGCGATACTACTCAAGTGTAACATCTGCAAGCTAGCAATTGGGAAATAAGTCTGAAATTACTAATGAGTTAGAACATTAACTTTTCTTAAATAAAATTTTGAATATCAGACACAAGCATTAAATAAGTCTCAAGATACGATGAATTGGTTATGACTCGTAAAACTTGCGTTATTATTTTTTTTCGAAAAAAGTTTTCTCAAGCTCAAATATTCTTTGGGATTTGAGTTTTGATTGCTTATTAGATTGAGTTAATTTCATTTAGTTCACTTGCGAAGCTAGTGTATTAGTGCAAACCTTCTTTGTTTCAACGTAAGTCTCGAATATTGGTGCGGCATCTTTATGGTGGGTTACCTTTACAGCTTTTTGATAGAATGTGCTTTGACATTCGAATAGTAATAAGTTAACACAGTAGATGCATTTTCAATTCATCAAATGAACCGAAAAAAAATAATTTGTTTCCAGCAACATAACAATAATGAAAACTCGAATTCTGAAGTTTTCTACCTCAATATATCCGGCAATTTTTTGAAATGCATAAGGTGGATTTATGCTTTGCGATTTGTAGCATGCAAAATTAGTGTGGATGTCAGATTGTTCTACTTCAAATTATTAGATGCAAAAGTGAGTCCATTTGCTTTTCGTGCTACTTTTGCTGAAATGAACTGGCAAGTTCATAGCATTTGTAGCTGCGTTATTCGTGACTAGTAATTGTCGGTTGTTAAGCTTGTGTGGCTAAGTGGATAGTGCGTGAGACTCAAGATCTCTTGATTGCAGTAGTTCGCAAATTCGAATCCTACACGTAGCCGAGTTTTTGCTAGTTCGAGGCTTTTTTCTACTTTTTTTATCTCACTTGATAGAGCTGCTTTTCGGTCGTGTTCTCGCAAGTGTTTGCAAACCGCAGCTTCGCCTCTGTATAAAAAGATTGCAAACTCCAATATTGAACTGCAAAAGTGTAACGTCACGAAAAACGCGATCAACTTCTAGTTTTCAGAAAAGATTTTCGTATTCAGGTTTCCCAGCGGAATGAAAAAATAAAAGTAACCTCTAATTGAGTTATTTTAATCAAAAATTTACCAAATAAATTTTGTTCAAGAAATTCAAAGAGCTTTAGGAATTGTGAGTTTTAGATAGAGAAAAGAAAACACTAATATTTTTGTCCTTTTTTTGCGTTCATTGGCTATCTGTTCTGTCTGTTGGCTATGGTAAGTATGTTTTTTATCATGGGACGACTGGTAAAAGTGAATTGTTTCATTGCGTTTATTGGCTCTTTTAATCTGTCTAGTGGCTAGAGAAAGTATATGTGTTTATCATGGGACGAGCAAATTGATACTACAAGGGTAGACACCCATTGAGCCGAAATCTGCCACAAAAAATAGTGGCTAAGATTCAAGGTTTAAGTTTTACACCACAACAACCGACTTCAACTGTTTCTGTTCAAAAAAAATAATAGTCATTAAAATTCAAAAAAAAAGAATCAAACGCTGACAATTTCGAGACTTAAAAGGAAAAAATATCTTGAGTCAAAAAAGGAACTTTATCATAATTGGTCAATTTCTGCAAAGTCATTGAAAATAGCGAATTTGGGAGGACTGATTAGGGTTTTTTTACCAGATTGCTATTGATGCGTGTCAAAAGCAACGAAGAAGGCCGGCTGAAAAATCATTCCAAACAACTAATGCAAGCTAATTGGTCTAACTAACGCTTAATAGACGCAAAACAAATGACTAGATTATTTCCCCACGAGCATTTTGAAAAAATAACTTGTGTTTTTCATCTTATATCGCGTTATTTGGTCCAGCTAGTTTGCATTATTTCAGTTGGTAATGACTTTTGAGCCGGTCTTTTTCGATGCTTTCAACACAAGTCAATGCAATTGTCTTGTATTTCCCCACGAGCATTTTGAAAAAATAACTTGTGTTTTTCATCTTATATCGCGTTATTTGGTCCAGCTAGCTTGCATTATTTCAGTTGGTAATGACTTTTGAGCAGGTCTTTTTCGATGCTTTCAACACAAGTCAATGCAATTGTCAATTGATCAAGTTTTTATAGACTTTTTATAGAGCATTCATAATTTGCAGAATTTGCCTTGATACAAGCATTTTAGTTTGTATTTTTGTCTTTTTTTGAGTGTGCAAAAATTTAGTTTACCCTGGATTCAAGCAACGCTGAAATGTGGTTTAAAAATAACAATTTAACGATAAATTCACATGGTTAACTAGTGGCAGCTAACAAAAGTTTAATTTTTCAATAGCAACAATTGGATGCTCTTTCATTAAGACTACAGTATAAGCAAACATCTAAAATAGAAAAAACTGAGCTTGAAACAACATAATGAAAAATCTAACCAAAAGAATGACAGGTTTTTGGGAATGACTTCCAAAGACAGGATATTGTTTTTCAAAAAGCAGCCAATTCATATTCAAAACGCATATTTAAAAAAGAATATCAAATTTGCTGTTTTATTCTAGGAATCCGCTTTCCAAAAAAGCTAACGCAGTGTGCAAATGAAAACAAAAACGCTAAAATCCATACTTGGTTAATCAAATCATCATATAACAATAAATTCACATGATTAAATAGTGGAAGTAATTTATAGTGGCAGAATTTATTGTTAAGTAACCATTTAATGATAAGTTCACGTGGTTAACTAGTGGCAGCTAACAAAAATTTAATTTTTCAGTAGCAACAATTAGATGCTCTCTAATTCAGACTACAGTATTAGCAAATATCTAAAATAGAAAAAAAACTGAGCTTGAAACAACATATAGAAAAATCTAACAAGAACTATGACAAGTTTTTTGGAATGACTTTCAAAGACAGGACAGTGGTTTTCGAAAAGCAACCAATTCATAATTAAAACGCATGTTAAAATAAGAACGTCGAATTGGCTGTTTTAGTCTATGCATGCGCGTTCAAAAAATGTGAACGAAGCGAAGTGTGCACTTGAAAACTTGGTTGATAAAATCTTACCAAAAAATTATGATTCCTTTCGTTTTTTTTTGTACTATTTTCATAAGTTTTCACAGCAAATGTTCGTCAAAAATTTATTGATAAATGCGCGAGGATTTTTTTAATTTTTTTTGATTGCGAGAGCAAGTGACTTTTAATTGGGAACTAGATTTTTCCCGTAAACAAATTTTCCTAAATATGTTTCCCGTAAACATACTGTATTCACTGCACGTGTTTCTTACAACGTACAAGCTGACATGCTCAAACTCTTCAAAATTTAATTAAATATTATTTTTAGATTATTTCAGGCAGTAATTATTGGTTCAAATGTTTTTATTAATTTTCTTTTTCGGGTTTGAGTGTGAATTTCAGAAAGTGAGATCTAGAAAAATAAAACAATAATACTTTTCTGTTTCCTTTCGTTTATTGGCTCTTTTTTCCATCTATCTATTTATTGGCTACGGTAAGTATATGAATTTATCAGGGGAAGACTAAGTTGACAACACAAGGGTAGACACCCATTGAGTCAAAAACTGCCTCAAAATTTTGTCATAAAAAGTTTGAGTAGTTAAGATTCAAGATTTAAATTTTACACCACAGCAATCGACTTCAAGGGTCTCTGTTCAAAAAAGAAGAGTAAATAAAATTAAAAAAAAAAGATCAAAAGCAAATTGAGTCCACTGCGCTGACAATTTCGAGACTTAAAAGCAAAAAATATCTTGAGCAAAAAAAAACTATATCACGTCTGGTCAATTTCTGCAAAGTTATTGAAATTAGCGAATTTGGGAGGATCAATTAGCGTTTTTCTACCAGATTGCTATTGACGCGTGTCGAAAGCAAAGAA